CATTCGCGCGTGTAACGATTAGAATAAAAAAAAAAGAAAAAATATATATATATATATATATATATATATATATACTAAATCTAATTTATGAAAAAAAATTCTCCAATCTCTCCTGAATTATTTTTTACGCATCGAACGTAGCTCGAAGATGGTTGGAGGAGCGTGAGAGCGCTTTCCTCCGAGAAATCTTATCTCGCGGAGAGGAACTCGTCGCCTCGAGGGGACACGGCGCAGTCTGTAATCACGTGTTGTCCACGATGCTTATTATCTCGATATTGTGCCGAGTGTATAATAGTATTACCGATTTATCCGGTGTAAATATTAATTGTCCGGAATGCGCCACGGCGACGTAAGTGGCGGTCGTAAATCGCCCGGCAGCGCCTCCCCTTTGCCGCGCTTATAAATCCTCGTCGTCGGGGAGCAACAAAGGGAGGGCAGAGAGAGAGAGCAAAGAGAAGATGAGATCTTCATAGTGGTCCTAGGTGGTCCAGGTGGATCGGCAGAAATAATAACGTAAACGGCAATTACAGGCAACAGTGAATGTGTGGCCGAGGTTTCGCGGTCGGTAATTATAAGCATCGATCGGATTGATACGTTCGATGGTGAAAAGTAATAAATAATTAGAGTACGTTCATGCTATAAAAACTCTTCCGATAATACACGCTACTCTCGTGAGGATCGACTTATTTATCTTTTCATTGTTTATTCACCGTTTGTGTTATATTCGAACATATATATTGTTTATGTACAAAACAAATGTAGACTGTATCGATCTAACGTGTGATTAAAATTTCGATCGACGATTCTCAATTCTGATAATCCAATTGAAGTCCCTAACGGCCCGGAATATTCCGCGTCGAGGCGCGGAACATATTGCTTTTATTGCCGAATGGGTAAGAGCCGGAAATTCCGGCCTCCGTAAAAATGTTAGCGGCGCGATGTAATCGTGAACGAAGTAGCCACACGAGCAAACGACGTCTTTCGGCGCCGCGCCGATAGCCGCCGCGCTGCAAATTTTATCGCGCGTTATTCGCGAGGTCAGCCCCGATCGAGATCATCCTACCCGTCGTTAACTAACGTTTTACAACGGCCATCAGGGTAGATTACAAAGTGGCGGGCTATCAGAGGTTTTTACGTAATTTTTCGGAACGCTCAATGTACTTATGCGCTCGCTAAGAGGAAGGCGTTTTCAGTTTTACGACGGGCGGAGCGGCTACTAAAAAACTAATTGCTGGAAATAACTGAAATAACGCGTATACTTAACTGAGATACAGGAGAAAGGTGTGGCGAACGAAGGAATTTTAACACTATTCGGTTTCTAATAAAGTTTTCAGCGAAACGAAACTGATAAGCAATTTAAACTCGCGGTCAACATGAAAGACCTCTCGTTATTTCCTGCACGCGTGGAATTGACGGATAAAAAATTATAAGAATTTTTTTGCGATTAATAATTTCACTGAGTTTCGAATGAGTTTGTAATATATCTTATTCTCTTGTATAAAAAAAATCTATGTGTACCGCGAAGTGCGTGTTTTAATATCGAACGAGTCGAATCGAAAACGGTAAGATCGAGAGAGTAAATAATGACAGAAAAGCGATTTTGAGACAGTTCGTCGTACACGTGGAGAAAATTAAAAACGTGACTAAAGTAAAGTCACGTGACAGGAAAGAGTAGAAAAACAACACGTGACTAAAGTAACGTGACTGTAATTTATATTATATATAACATTAAATAATATATATATATTATACATATAATTTATTATATATTTATATTATACTTTATATTGTATATTATATGTATTATATACATACTACCGTAGGTAGTAAGGTCACTGACCTCGGCCGCGCGATCTTGGCGGGGTCACTGACCTCGGCTGCGCGACCTTGGCGGGATCACTGACCTCAGCCGCGCGACCGCGGCGAAGTCACTGACTTTGATCACGTGATTACGGTGTGTGTGTGTGTGTGTGTGTGTATTATATATAGATATAGAATATTATATATTATATATATAATATTCTCTTTTTTACTCTTTTCCCTGTCATGTGACTTTAGTCACATGGTGTTTTTCTACTCCTTTCTGTCATGTGTTTACTTTACACTCACGTGTTGTTTTTTTCATTCTCCTCTTTTTCTTTTATTTTTTGAGTTTGATTTTTATGCGTTATTTCTGACATCTCTCATATGTACATCATGTGTATTATACGGTTTGTAAGACGTATATATTATAGCTGTCATCGCGGTGTCTGATTGTGTTCACTGACAAAATACGTTAAAATAAAAATAATAATAGCGTGCGCGTAACGCGAGCCTGTGTTGTGCTATTACACATTACGCGCAATATAATTTTTCTCTTCCGATTTCTATTTAAGATTAAAAATTTCCATAATGTTATTTTCTGGAGAAAATCAAGCAAAAAAAAACAATTTATAATTAAAATAAATATCATCTTCGTGTAACTCGGGAGATGGACAAAAAATGCGTGGGTAAACAAATGTGAACAAATAAACGAGACAAAAATTTTATAAAAATATGCAAATGTAGGTTGCGCCAACTTCGCGCAGCTAAAATACCGCGCTGTCGCACTTGCGGTTGTATACCTACGTGGTTATGTACGTGAGCACAAGGAACCTGTTTCTCAACATAAACGATCGCGTTGGCAATTCCCTGCCGCTCGTATATCGCGACTCCGCGCGCCGCGGAAACGCAGTCGAAAACGATATCGATTCCACGACGTCCTAAATCTCTATCCACCTTGGGGAGGCGCACAAAGCCCCCGGTCTGAGCCTCGGCGGCGCACAATGCGAGCGATTTTGATTTATCTATCGTTTGGGTTACAGCGCGCAAGCTCTTAGACGCGCGTGTGCGTGCGTGCGTGCGTGTACTCGCGCGTGCACGTAACCTCTACAAACGGAAAGGGAGTTAGCTGGAAGGGACCGAAGGCAGAACACTGGAAACGCAACTGCGGTGATGGCTGCATGAATTGGGCGCACCGGGGTGTACGATAATCGCAAAGGAACAAGAGAGGAGGAACGTTGTCTCCCTCGAACCCTCTCGAGGTTTCATCTCTTCCTCCTTCTGACCTCTGTGTACGCCTCAATTCCCGACCCCTCCTTCTCAATACGTCGGGCCTGAAATCGCTTCTCTCGCTCGTTAATGCTCACGTGTGTGCTCAATGTGCGTCGTTCTATTCCCAACCCTATCGGCCTAGGCAGCCCTCTGTCTTCCCTATCTTCCTTTATTCACAGAATATCTTCGAATGTCGAAATATGCGGCGCGTCTACTGCATCTTGACTCAACTATACGAAGCGCGTCTTTACTGTGTGTATTAGAATCGCAAACCTACAAAAACACAAAACTAATTCCATTATTATACATTTTTACCCCCGTCCGAAAATTTCTGAGAAAAAATAATTTGTTGCTAATAAGTTTTTAAATTTTTTATCAGCAAACAGAAAAAAATTATACGTGTTTTTATGGAATTACTCTGTTTTTTATATAGAAAGTGTTTTTACGAGTCTGAGACGCGACACTTGGCTGTCGTTTTGTAAACACGCGTCGCCGATGTCGCAGGCACTCGAATTTTTTTCCCGTCGGATTTATGAACAGAAAATAACGCCCTTTCGCCGCGCGCGCGCGCGCCGGCTGGCGTTTGCCTCGACACCGCGGGGTTTTTCTTCAACTTCCGCGATCAGTTACACGTCGTCGGAGATTGCAGCTGGGCGGCCAGCCGGGCTAATATGCGAGCGAGGAAATGGTCCCGGGAGAAATTTGTAGGCGCCGCTGTTGGCACGCCTGAGCGGAATTCTTTCCGACGTAACACCCGACGTCCCGAAAAGCCGCAACTTTCACGTACGTGGCGACAAAAAATACGAACGTGATTGAAGCTACAAAAATATACGCTGAAAATATGTGAATCGCTTGAAGATGCGCGGAAATAAAAAATCTCAAAATCGAAATTACTTGCTTGTGTGGAAAGCGATAAAATGTATGGACTATTTTTCGCGCTCTCGTCTCTACGTAATTTACGTCAAAGATATTGATCAAGTGTCTGTAAAAAGCGCAGAATTTCTAGCTTGTTACCGAGCGCTTACCAAGAAACTTTGCCGCGATACACAGCAAAACACACACACACACACACACACGTAATAAGCGAAATCTCCTAAATCAATTAGCACGAGAACGGTTTAATTCTACGAGCGTGCTACGGTGTGTTCCCGGACTTAACATGCCGGCCGAAACCTCCCATCTATCTCGCGGGGTTTTCCCGGGTTTACGGCAACAACGATCTTCCGCCTTCTGCGCGTACACGTCACAGCTACTCCCATTCTCGTTATTAACCCTTTCAAGACGATTTTTGTTTGCTCGTTAAAATTTATGGAAGGATTTGCACCCAAAGTCTTGAAGTATGGTACAATTAAGTTTCTACAAAGAAGAGAGCAACTCGATAACTAAATATCAATATGAGACGTTAACACGTAACGTAGTAACATTCTGTTGAAATAAAAACATTATTATGCGGTAAAACACTCCGTTTTGTACTTGGACAACACAATCGCGATAATTGATAATCTTATCATTTAATTAACGTCTTATTTCCACGTGGATAGGTACAATGTTCGGTTTAAAGAGCCGGTTTTAAGAAAGTTCCGTCGCCATTAATTTCCCGGCAACAAAGCCGGGCGCTCGATCCTCCTCCGGCAAGCGCTCGCGAATGTGACAATTTAAAATGTCGCTCGCTGCGAGGCTTTAAAGCGAACACGCGAAAGGCGCCGGGATGCAAAACTGGCTTCTGCCTGCGGCGGCGCGAGTCGCGCCTTCGCGAGAAGCTCCTGCACGTCGCGCGTAAATATCCGCGCGCGTTGTACCCGGCTCCTTAATTGGCGCATGGATCCGGGGAGGGGAAAGGGGAAATTCACATCTCTCCGAGCGGGAGGTTCAGCCGCGGCGAGAAGGAACCGCGATCCGAAATCGTAAATACTTTCTTGCACACTCACCTGCAAGGTCACCTGCGAAGACGGTGCAGTTGGTTAAGAGCCACGCAAGTAGCAGCCCAAGGATCGGAACTGCTCTGCGTAGACCCCTGCGGCACTCCATTGTGAAGTTCCGAGCTCCGACTACGCCTTCTGCAAGCAAAAGAAACGATTACAATAACCCACGCGTGGTGGCAGCTCCTGATATTCTCGCGCGCGTCGCGATTTCCGAGAAAACACATGCGCGCGTGTTATTATTGCGTCTACGTAAATCGCGTACTTTATCAGACAGGATTGTTCGCGGCGTTTTTATCACGCGGACCCGCGATTACGTGAAAATCGCGATACGCGCGACCGACGGTGGAAACAGATTCGAGTCGAGATACTCGCGCCGCTCGCGTCGTCGTAAAGTAGATTAAGATACAGATAGATAGTGTTAAAAATATGAAACTGGTGTGTGGTGGTATTAATAAAATTTGAAATATATTTATGACAACGATACTCGTAAAGGAAAAATTAAACCTCTACTCACACACACCGCACACAACAAAAGTTAATACTCGTGATATTTATTAATCTGCGCGAACTGTATAATTCTTGGCACCTAAACCGAACCACTGACGATGTGCTTCTAAAGTTGTAACAAGAATCGAAAAACAAATTAGTCAGGGCCGTCGACAGGCTTGTCGACAAACAACATTCGGCAATGTTCGTCGTAGACTCAGAGTTCGGCTATTGGCGTGGCTAAAGTTGTAACAAATGGAAAAATAAAAATATGATTTTTTTTTCTTCACTTTTTTTTCTACTAAGAAACTCGAATAAATTTTTATTGATTCACGTGAAATATGGCTGCAAACGTGAACCACACACACGCACACATTTTCATTTCGTTCTTTTTTGAATCACACAATCCATGTCGTAATTCGTCTTGTTTCGGTCCGTTTGCAACGCACGTTGTTTTTATTCGGCAGCATCGCGTTGTGTTCGCGCGCGGTTCGCAAATTTCGAAATGCTGACGCCAAAATTGTTTTCCTTTTTCGCCTTCGTTAACCCACATTCACGCGAACGCGCATACAAACCAACCAACCCTCTGCATCCCCTTCGCTTCGCTTCCCGACGCGCGGATTAAGCTGATTTATGGTGTTTACCGGCGATGCTCGCTCGATTTTTCCTGCGGCATCGTTGCGCGAGCGCGTCGTCGACCTATCGGTTAAAAAAACACAAAAAAAACCGCGTGAAATTTGCGCGAGGAGAAAAGGACGCGTTGCATCATCGCGCGCGCGAAGAGAGGTAGCAGACGTGACACGTGTGGATTACGTGTGCGAAATTGCGCGTTCTCGTCGCGAAAATGTTAAATCTTGAGCAAAACACGTCCGCTTACTCGTGTAAAAGAGAAAAAGAACATTACGTAAGAGGATAAAGACGGTGCAAAAGAAGTTAAAAATACTAATATCCACATTCGAAAAATATTTTTAGCTCAAGAAAATATTTTAGAGAGATTTATATAGCTTAGAGAAAAACTGTCGAAAAATCTTTTGGGTTTGTGCACGTCGAGATATTTCGTGACGTTGCATTCGCAGAATATGCGACCGACAAAATTTGTATAAAAATTCTAAAAATTATCATATTCAGAATTGCGATATTGAATAAACATTGAAGAAAACGAGCTTGCTAATTCATAACATTTTTTTCTTTTGGCTCGCTATCTTTCAAATTCGGTCTGTGTGTGTTGACATTTTGTCGAATTAACATTTACCGGAATTTTATTTATGTGGAGAGGATCTCCGTAATCAAAAAGCACTTCAAAAACCACTGCACGACGGAGGGAGAAAGAAAGAGAGAGAGAGAGAGAAAGAGAGAAAGAGAGAAACTCAGTGACCCTTGAGTGCATCTTGAAAATGTCAGATATTATACGAGATGTAGCTTCCGCTCAAAAATCCGTCGAAAATGTCGAGATCTCCGCGAAGCAAGATCCGTAGCGCGGCCGTATATCGCGAGTCAACGGGCAACCATCTCGATTATGACCGACAGAGGGGAAGTTCATCGAGCCGCGACCACCGCGTGCGCATCACAGTGGACCACTCCGCAGATTGCATCGGGTTGGATTGCTGCGATGCTTTTCCGTGGCCGCGCGGAAGAGCAGCGACGCGAAAAAGCATCTGGAGCGCTGCCAGTTCGTTTCGAGCGGATCGCGTTAATTTTTCCGGCGAGTCTAATTAAGTCCGTCTCTTTCTCTCTCTCTCTCTCTTTCTATCTTTCTCCCTTTTCCTTCCTCTTCACTCTTTCGTAACACTCGTCCTCTTTTTCTTCCTCTTCTGAATGCCGCCGGTATTCAACAGCAACGAACGAGGAAGTCGCGTAGCAACGCGATTATCGCCGAAACATCTGTAAACTCCAGGAGTAACGACGATAATTGAATGCGTCGGCTATTTCCCTCTCTTTCTCGCTCGCGCATTGAACAAACGCGGATCCTCGCGCACGTACCGTGCATTACGCATAATTAATCCGACGATGCTATCTGCTCTAACCTCGTATTCCGAGTGTTCGTCGCGCGAATAGAATCGGCGATGCTCCTTTCATCAATGCTCTTACCCTTTCTCTCCCTTTCCTCCCCTCCCTCTCCCCCCGTTGTTGCTCTCGCGATGTAACACACGATGCGTACGTGTGTGTCGACGCACCGTTGCGATAATCGCGATAAGCTCGATGACAACGCGATTCGCATCTCGGCGGAGAAAGAGGGAGAAAGATTGTTTTATTAAAAAGAGAAGAGAGCACACACAGAATGGGGAGGGGGGGGGGAAACAGAGAAGCGGGAAAGAGGATGTATACACGCGGATGTATATACGCGACACAATCGAAACGAGCGGTAATCTCGCGGCGACCATTAATTTTTTTTTTTTTTCTGCCTTCTCAGTGCTATTCCGCAGCCGTGGATTTTTCCGATCGGTAATCGAGCGCCTTTGCGAGAAATTCCCGACGACGCGCGTTTCGCGACGGTGCGCCTCTCCTCGAGGATTCTTCTTCTCTTTCCAGGCGCTTTTATCGAGCCGAACCATCGCTCGCCGCGTTTCAGTTCTCCTCCGAGTCGATTCTCCAGAAAAAAAAAAAAATAAAAAAAATTCATTCGAACGCAGCCAAGCTGCTTGCATATTTGGCGCCCGAATTGTGCATCGAGGAAAAAAAAGAAGCGCTATAACGATAAAGAGCGAGTCATTTATTGAACGCGGAAAACGAAAATCTGCTGCGGCGATGTTCTTCGATTTGTGCTCGCAAAGTTCTTCGATAGCTATTGAGAAATCTGCTGACTCATGTAATTTGCTACTATTTCCAATAATTCTTGCAACTTTACGGTATAATTTTTGTCTTAATTATCTTTATATCATATGATATTTTTATACAGATTTTTCCGCGAAAATGGTAATTTTCTTTAGAGAGCACACGATATTCGATAATTATTTACAAAGTGGGCCTCCTTATCAATTTCAATGAACTTGAAACATGTTGTTAAGGACGTTTTTTTTCGACATGTATATCAGCGTAGGCCGATTCTCTTTAATGCAATGCATCAATTCCGTACTTCTGTTCTTTGTACGAAACGATCTCATAATAAATGCCGCCAAAGAACATTTCGGAATTGCCGCGGTGTAAGTTCTCTGGTTTTCATTCCCCTAGAGAGCTCAAAGAGATTTCATTTTAAATGAAACCGGCGCAGTTGTGAAATTCAAAATATAATTCGGACTTTCCGCGCAAACCTGTTTTTCAGGGAGTCTTTCCCGAATTTTCTAATAAAAATTCCGCTTGTGTCTTGTTCTTCGCGCACATTTAATTTTTGTAAACTTTTTAAAAGCTCATAAGCTTTGCATTTAGTCGCGTTAATCATTTTTCACGATTATAATAATTGCAGCAACGGAGCAACGTTTCCCTTTGTGTCGGTTGTCACACAGATAGTGACTTTGTAAAGCTTCAATATAACGCACTTTAAAACCAATAAATAATTCGATATAATAATTTCCACATATCCCGTCAGTTCTTTTCTCTTTGTGTCGGACAAGTGACGTGCCGCCGCCACACCGCGGACCGTCCGGATGAAAACATAAATCTACATATTATTAAAGCAGCGGCGATCAAAGCGATCGAAATAATGCAGATTATCAGAAAACGCCGGTGCCGTGGCAATTTCTGCAGGCACTTAAAATCATTTCGACGCCTCTCGACGATGAATATTGAACAGCCGCGCACCTGCCGGTCGACGGTTCCCTCTTCCCCTTTCCAATCATTCGTCTCTCCCCTTCATCTTCCCGTTCTGCCGATCCCCACCATTCCGGCTTCACAATGATTTCGAGCACGAACTCGTCCGTCATTTACGATCCTCGCGCGCAAAATCATTCTCGTAACGAATTGGGCGGGCGCAAGAGAGTAGGAGGTTACGAGCGACGAAGAGAAAGAGAGAGAAAGGGAATCAAAATTATTTGTTGAAAATCACATTATCGAATCGGCGTACGCGCGCGAGTTTCAATTTTACACCCAGGCGCATTTTAATGCACGACGCGCGTTGCCCGCGGCTCCGATCGGCGCGCAATTAAAAATAATTGACGACGACAACGAGCCGATGTTAGTAGGGGTCTGCGGAGAGAAGAGGGCAACCGCACGGGAAATTAACTCGCAATTTCCCCCGCGAAAAACTCGCTGCAAATCTGACACGTATCGAACAGAAAATCAGATTTTTCGAAGCGACTTTGCGCAAGTGTGTGCCGTTTTACACACAATAATTTTTCTGCTTGTAAAAAAAAAAAAAAACAAAAAAAATAACAAAAAACTTGTCACGCAATTTAAAGTTTGCGCGGCGTTGTGGATCTTGCAATAATTTATTCAAATTCGAGGTTGACGTTGCGGATTCGCCGATTTGCCGAGATATCTCCGCGTGCCGATATGTCGCCGCTACTTTCGATTGCGACAGCTTGGAAAGAGCAGCAGCCGAAAGGAAATGGTTCAGGGAATGAAGGGAAGAAAAGGAGAAGGAGGAGGTGCAGGAGAGCTGCAGCTTGAGTATATACACAGTGCATGCGAAAATGTCGAGCGCAATTTCTGAAATTCCGTCGTGTCGCTTCGCCACTCGAATGCCGCCGCACTACTCCGTATCCTCTTTTCTCTTC